GGGGGTTGCTGATCCGGATGCTGGTGGTATTTCTCCACCTCCTCGGCCTCGGCATATCGGTCCCCCCGCTGCAGGGCCCTTATGTAGTCGCGGGGGGGTTCAATGATGAGGCTCCTTGAAAAGTTGCCGGTGCGGAGGACGGTTTGTAGGAGGGCCAGGAGGGTCCCGTTGTCAGCACCGTCGACTTTGTCGGCTTCCGTTCTCCAACGCTCCAGGAAGTCCCGAAGGGTCTCATCCCTCCTCTGGCGTATGGTTAGGAGGTGGGAGAAGTGCTTCCTTGTGCGACGCCTCCCGGCAAATTGCGTCAAGAATTGCTGGGCGAGTTCTTGCCACGAATCAATGCAGCCTTCGGGCAACCGGTTGAACCATTTGTATGTCGGCCCCTCTAAGGTGGAGAGGAACCAACGACACAAATATTCGTCCGACGCCCCTACCATCATCATGCTGTTCTGATATTTGCTGTAGTGTTCTTGGGGGTCCGTCTTCCCGTTGTAGGGCTGTATGTGTTGCCCTCGGTATTTTTCCGGGATCCGGGCCGCCAATACCCTTGGGGTAAATGGCGTCCGGGTCCGGAGCTGGATGATGGGTTCCCCGGAGCCCTCGGCTACCTTCTTCTGCAATTCCTCCATTTTGGCCATCATGGCCTCGTATTTGAGGTCTGAATGAGGGGTGGAGGTGGTGGTGTGAGCTTTGTTGGCCTCCATTTCATCAAGTAGGCGTTGGAGGGCCGCAATAATTTCGTCCCGGGGGTCCTTCGGGAGGGTCTCCGCCCCCTGCGAACGAACCCGGGCCGAGTGGGCCTGGTTGATTTGGTGGCGAGCATCTTCGGCATGAAGGGATGCCTTGCCTTTGTCCCGAGGAGGACGCTCCTCGTCTGCCCTCGAGACAGACCCTCCGCTTTCCTAGGGCCTTTGGAGTGCCTTTCCTCCGAGGCGGTCTTGGACCCCTCGGCGGTCTTGCCCCCCTCCGAGCCGGTTGAGGGCGGAAGTGCGGGGCCTTTCTCTGTTGTCATTGTGGCGGTCCCGGGACTGAACATCCTGGGAGGTCGTATCTTGGGCCACTACCCCTTCGTCGTTCCCAATCCGAGGGAAGGGGTTTCCGAAGGGGTGTGGCAGAGGGGGAAGCATGATGTTCTCCCCAACCTGGGGTTGAGCCGGAGCCAGGGTGCCGAAGGCACCCGGGTTCTGAGCGAGTGTCTGGATGAAGGCAGAGAGCGCCGAATGAACGTCGATGGTGAGGACCGGAGGGTTGACTTGGTCATCGCTCCGGTTCTTCTTCTTGGCCTCGATGCCGAGGCGGGCATCGGGGGAATTCTGCTGGATCTGAAGGCGTAGGTCGACAGCCGCCTGTTCCAGCCCAGCGATGACACCGCCCTCGGGAGCCCTGTGAGAGGCTTCGGGGGCGTTGACGTCGCCGAGGGCCAGGTTCTTGTCTTCTACGTTTTTGGAGTTGGTACGTGTAGTTCTCACCATTTTGGTAGAGGGCTGGTGTTTGGCGAAGGGGGAGGGTTTCTTACTTGATCATTCGACCTCTCAACGAGAGCACCAAATGATGGATAGTGTACCCGGGGGGTAGCTTATCTGGGGGTTATTGCGGGGAATAACAAGAGAGAAGTCAGAGCAAGTAAGTATAGAGAGGGAAAGTGTATTCAAAAAGTATGCACCGTTTATGACCTGGTTACAAATGGGGAAAAAGGGTGCTATTTATAGTAGCAATAAATGCTGGACAGGGACACGTGTCACGCGTCCATTGGCCGAGAGGTCACCTCATCTGGTTGGCGCTGGCAACCGCATGTGGCCGCATTTAATGCGGCTGTTGGATGGGACGTTTGTACAGGGCACGGTGATCTGTACGCATGTGGTGTGGATATCATGTCGGGCAGGGTGCCCTCGGCTGTAGAGGACTAGCCGAGGGCTCCGAGTACTGGGGACCCCCTTGGTGCCGAGGGCTCCAGGTGCCGAGGGCTACTGATTTTTGCCGTTTTTCCCAGTAACTTCGTTTTGCTGTCCTGGCCCTCCTGTGAGAGTTAGAGCCTTCGGCCGGGGGGGGGGGGGGGGGGGGGGGGCGAAGGCACCCCTGATGCGCATTGTGGGCTGCTTGGTACTCTGGGCGCCGTGATTTGGGCCTTCTGGGCCTTCTGGGCCTGTTGGACCTTTACTGGAGTAATAGGAGTCTGTGGGCCGGGGGTTCCCGGGCCATATACTCCATCAGTGTGATTTTGTTGAATGAAGCGGAGACTGCATATATAAAACTTGTAGTCACGGACTTAGTCACGGATGTGTCCGTGACTACACTTTTTTTGTACGAATTGTCGGTGCACTTTAAATTTGGAACGTTGAAAAAATCAATTTTGCACTTGACACGGAATTAGTCACGGATACGTCCGTGACTAACTGTAGTCACGGCACTAGTCACGGAACCATCCGTGACTAATTTCAAATTTAAAAAAACTCCCGCCGGGGACGAAAATGGGTTGGCCGGAACACTTTAGTCACGGACTAGGTGTGTGACTACCTATAGTCACGGACGTACTCACGGCCAAATCCGTGACTAATTTTTTTATATACGTTCCGTGACTATACCGTGATTAGAACCGTGACTAACTAGTCACGGACCAAATCCGTGACTACGGTCCGTGACTATAAATACATTCCAAGTAAATACATTCACATACTTCACTCTCTAGTTCATTGTTCACCCTTAGATATCGCATCCAAGTATTAATCATGACTCGTTCTTACATCGATCTTGTGTGTTATTTTATTCATTACTTTATATTTTGCAATTTTCTTCTTTCATATCTTCTTTCAAGTAAATCGGATTTACACTTTAAGGCCTAGAAAATAAATTACGATCGAGATTATATGAAAATGTGATTAATTTGAAAATGGCATCAACACTACAAATTGGAGATATGGAGTGTTTGCATATATTTTAATGTCAAGTTATTATTTTCAGAAACATAATGTCATTTTAAAACATTCCAACTCTTTGAAAAGTAAAAACTCAAATCAAAATATTTAGAATTGCTATTTGTACATGATATAACTATATAAGTAGGTTAGAACTTTGTTCTAAATATCACTATAGGCGTCCGACTAGTCTCCGCCTACGCGCTAGGCGGTGGTCGAGCGCTCGGCCGGCTTTTGTCTAGCGTTTCGACTACTTGGTTGGCAACTAGGACTCCTAGTTTCTTTTTTATTTTAATATATATTTTAAGAATTATATGTACATTTAACTTTAACAACACATACGAAGAAAGTTATTAATTGTAGATTAAGATAAAAATTATACATGTTTATCTACAATCTCAAATGTTATTATTAACTAATAAGGTTTATTACATAATGAAGTTCTTTTTGAAAGGTGTACATAATGAAGTTAAGTGAGGGTATAATATATTACTAGTAGTATTAAATATGACAACTTTATCATTAATGCATGTTAATGTGTATGCGTGTGTATATATTTTTTATACGCACATGAAACACAACATTACTATTTATATTTATGCAAAATATTGATAAAATTATAACATTTATGTCTCCGACTACTCCCCGCCTAGACGCTAGGCACTGGATTGGCGACGACTAGCGTCTAGCGCCTTTTAGAACATTGGTTAGGCCGAGCCATTCACTTGTTTTAATTTACTTCACTACAAGAATTTTGACAAAATATGATGAGGAAATTCATCACATAAAGTTCATTTTTCGTCATTAAAACTTTTCCGTGATGAATTAAGATCATCACAATGATTGTCATCATAGCTTCGTGGCAAAAGATATTAACGACGATTTTTGAATTTGTCACTATATAATGATTTTTTGTGACGCTTTAGTTCATCGTAACCATTATTGATCACTTTTAGTAACGCCTAATGCGTCACTTTTAAGTTGATTTTTTGTCACTTATATACGAATTTCGTCATCTATACTTAAGACAATAAATGACGAAATCCTGGCCTATATTATCAATAATATTGTTATTTTTTATGACGCTTTAGTTCATCGTAACGATTATTGTTCACCTTTAGTGACGCGTAATGCGTCATTTTTAAGTTGATTTTTGTCACTTATATTTGAATTTCGTCATCTATACTAGAGACAATAAATGACAACATTGCGTATTGTCAACAACAAATAATTTAAAGTGACGATTCAAGAGAGTTGTAGTGAGAGGTAATAAAGTTGTCATAGTTTTTCAATTGAAATATTTATATTTTATTAAATAAAAAAAGGATACACAAGAGGGGGACCAAACCAAAACCTCTTCGAAAATACAAAACAAGACCTAACCCTCAACTTAAGTGAAACAATAACAAAATTAGAGCTATGCAAAACAACTTCAAGCATAGTTGTTGAATATTTAGTTTTGTTGATAACTAATCATGCAGGAACAAAAGAAGGAAATGTTGATGACTAACCATGCTGGAACGAAAGATGAAACTATCCTATAAGTGCACATTGGTTCTACTGGTATCTAACCATGCAGGTAGAATGGCGGACAGAACCGCTCTCGGTTCTATCAAGAACGGAAATCAGAACTATACTTAGTTCTGTTCTGAGTGAATAATTAACGTGCATAATGATTATATGAATTACTCTCTACCGCCCATATCTCAGCCAGACGGTCATACGGTTATAACTTTATTATTCAAAAATGGCAGTCACAATCCAAAACAATAGTTCAGATTCTGGCTTCCAGAAGCTTGATGAGTACCTTTTGAGTCGTAGTTATGTAACTGGGTATCAAGCATCCAAAGATGACATTGTGGTGTTTTCGTCCTTGCCCAAGCCCCCATTCCCACAACTACCCACAACTAGTAAACGTTTCTCGGTGGTACAACCACATCGATGCGCTTTTGAGATTTTTTGGTGTAACTGGAGAAGGTTGTGGTGTAATTATAGTAGGCTCTGCACCTGTCACCGAGTGTGTGGCAACACCACCTGCCTCTGACCCGAAGGCTGCATCTGCTGAGGATGATGATGATGATAATGAATTGATGATGTTGACTTGTTTGGGGAGGAGACTGAAGAGGAAAAGAAGGTTGCTGAAGAACGTTCTGCAGCTGTTAAGGCCTCTATTAAAAAGAAAGAATCTGGAAAGTCCTCAATTCTTTTGGATGTTAAACCATGGGATGATAAGACTGATATGAAAAAGCTTGAAGAAGTTGTTAAAAGTGTTTCAATGGAAGGATTATCTTGGGGTGCATGCAAACTTGTTCCAGTTGGTTATGGAATTAAGAAACTGCAAATCATGCTCACCGTTGTGGATGACCTTGTTTGTGTTGATGATCTTGTGGAGAATTATCTCACCGTTGAACCTATCAATGAATATGTTCAGAGCTATGATATTGTTGCTTTCAACAAAATATGATTTATTTGCATTTGGGTGCTGGGGGGAATGTGCTATGCTTATATACCGCCTACCAAGGAGTCAAGGACTGCTTCAATCTACTGTGGTTTTTGTTGGACGTGAGTTTTTTGTTGGGACTCATTTTGTGTTCTTTTGATTTGTGGTTACTTTTCCATATCTAATGTGGAACTTCAACTTTCTGAGTATAATTTATTGGTAATATGCGTGTTTTTTTACTTTCTTGAAATTTTATCTTTGAATGTTCAATTTATCCGCCAAAAAACAAATATATGAATTAAAATGTGATTGCGAAATAATGCCTTATCTACTGACGTACCTAGTTTGGTATGCATGAAAGTGACACAATTTAAAGGGAGAACTATCAAATAAGCCCTCGAACTTTCATAAAAAGTGCAAATAAACCCTTTTGCAGGAGGCTTTGTACGGTTGTCGCCATTTGGGGTTGTTTCCGGTGGAAGATCTTGATGAAATATTTTGAGCATCTTCTTCATTAAGTCTAGTTTATCCATACCAAATTTCAGCTAAACATTCAATCTAGAAGGCAGTCAAATGATTTTCTACAATATACTGCGCTACCTAACTGTGCAGTTATCTTAACAAATTCATTTGACTACCTTCCCGATTGAATTTTTATCTGAACTTTGGTATGAGTAAACTAGACTTCATCAAGAAGATGCTAAAAAACTTTCATCAAAAAATTCCACTGGAAACCGCTCCAAATGGCGACGGCCGGACATAACCTCTTATAAAATGGCTTATTTTCACTTTTTATGAAAGCTCGAGGGCTTATTTGATAGTTCTCCCCAATTTAAATATCTTTTCATAAATGATTGACACCCACTTTAGTAATTGTGCTTTTTACTTTATAGAAAGTAATTATGCTTTTTACTTTATAGAAAGTAATTTTGGCTTGCTAAATTAAGGATTGTCAAATAAACATTCTCTTGCCTTATGGTTTGAAAAGATATCCTTGATTTAAGATATTAAATCTCCTTTGGAAAGATTCTTGACTTGCTAGTAATATTTGGATCGTTGCATGCTTATATTTGACAAGCCAATATACTACTTCCTTCTATATAATATTATGTTATCTTGTCATCTTAATTTGATTGCCATATTAATGAAAGTTAATCGTAGCTTTTCTAATGAGATACTAAAGTAGCTTGACTTGAAAATGATTGCATAAATATTTTATTGTTACACATGTCCGTTGCATGCCTACATGTTAAGTAAAACAATATTATTTCATTATATGATGGTTTGTGAATCATGAGTCAATTTACTCATATTTGAGAACGATTAAGAGAGATCGAGCTACTAGAAGGAAAGTAATTCAAATAATATCAATGCAACTTCCAAAGTATGGAAGCTCAATTACTCAAGGAAAGAGACACCAACGGACAAACCAAAGTGGCATATATATATATATATATATATATATATATATATATATATATATATATATATATATATATATATATATATATATATATATATATATATATATTCGAAGGATCAAGAGAAAGAAATGTGTGCTTGATAGAGTGATCAAAAAGGAGAAAGACTTGCAGAGAGTTATCAAGTTCAAGGCACTTGAACCTACGCACGAAGTTCTAGATAGAATTTCTTTTCCCTTATTTATCTTGTAACTTGGTTTCGAGGAAAAGCTAAGAGTAGCATTCTCGGTTTGGGATTGTGTGTGTGTAAGAGCTTTGTTGTAAAGCTGAGAGGCTCTCTACCCGCAAGGTAGAGAAGCATAACTCTTCCTAGAGAGGATAGAGTTGGGGTGGCTCAAGGGTAGATTAGGAGAATTTACCTTGTAACCACAAAAAGGCTAAGTAGTGAAGTTGTTCAAAATTCCTCTGAGGGAGGTCGAGGTTTTTTAAACCCTGTGAACCAAGGGATTTTTCCTCGTTAAATCCTTGTGTACTTACTATTTCTCATTTCCCTACACCCACACTAGAATTGTGCGAGTAACTTCCACGGTTCCACACAAACACAATTAACCCCCCCCCCCCTCTTGTGTTGCTATCCGTTTCATCAATTGGTATCAGAGACGGGCTTCACCACATAAAAGGGTAAAACCTTGGGAAGAGATCCGGCAATATGAATACGGTTGAACAATTGGAAGAAGGGTACTCGACTCAACGTCCACCGATGTTCAACGGGAAATTCTATCAATTCTGGAAGAGTCGAATGGAGAACTTCATCAAAGCTGAGAAATATGAGGTATGGAATGTAATTGAGGTTGGCGACTATGTCATCACTAAGACAGATAACGAAGGTAAAGTTATTCCTAAACCCAAATCTGAATTTATTATTGATGATTATCGTAAACTCGAGTATAATGCTCAAGCATTAAAATACTTAATTTGTGGACTTGGTCCGGCTGAACACATCGAGTTCTAGGATACAAATCCGCAAAACAAATGTGGGATTTACTTGAGGTTACGCATGAAGGTACCTCACGTGTAAAAAGATCCAAAATTGACATATTTATGCGTAATTACGAATTATTCGTGATGAAGCCTAAAGAGTCAATTAGGGATATGATTACATGTATTACTAATATTATAAATGAGCTTTCAGCACATGGAAAAGTTATTTCTGTGGAAGATCAAGTAAGAAAAGTTATGAGAAGTTTGCCCTATACATGGAAGCCAAAAACAACGGCAATAGAGGAAGCCAAAGATCTGTCCATTATGACGCTCGAAGACTTGACCGCTTCACTCATGACATATGAGTTAGGTCTACAAGAGGAGCAGGATGCTGAGAATGTAAGAAAAGAAAGAGGAATAGCTCTCAAGGCTCAAGAGGAAGAGGAGGATTCCGAAAGTGAATCGGAAGACGAAATGAGCATGTTTGCGAAACAATTCAGGAAGATGTACTGGAAATTCAAAGGCAACCGAAACAAGCAAGGTAAAAAGAACTTTCAATTTTTTAATAACCAAGGCTGTTTTGTTTGTGGGTCCTTTGAGCACAGGGCAAAAGACTGTTCCCAAAAGAAGAATGACAGAATCTATGAAAAAATAAGACCAGTTCCCACCGAAGGTCCAGTGAAGACAAAGGATTCAATAGAGACCTCAAGAAGGCGATGATGGCATCTTGGGGAGACTTATCCGATGATGATGAGGAAGAAGGTGATAAGAGTTCCAATCATGCAGGTCTATGACTTATGGCTAATTCCGATGAGGAATCCGACCAAGAGAGCTTTGAGGTAAATTTGGAAAACTTTCTATCTAAGTTTGATTCTTTGTCTAAAACCAAATGATGGATAGTCTACCCGGGGGTATATATCCGAAGGGTTATTACGGGGAATAACTTAGAGAGAAGTCAGAGCAAGTAAGTAAAAGTAGAGAGAGAGAGTGTATTCAGTATGAATGCCGTTTTCAGCGTGGTTACAAATGGGGAAATGGGGTGCTATTTATAGTAGCAATAAATGCCGGGCAGGGACACGTGTCAAGCGCTCATTGGCCGAAGGGTCATCTCAACTGGTTGGCGCTGGCAGCCGCATGTGGCCGCATTTAATGCGGCTGTTGGATGGGACGTCTGTGCGGGGTACGGTGATCTGTACGCATGTGAGGCGGATATCTTGTCGAGTGAGATGCCTTCGGCTATAGAGCAGTGGCCGAGGGCTCTTCCACCCGATGGCACCCTGCTGCCGAGGGCTCATAGTGCCGAGGGCTACTGTTTTCGCCGTTTTCTCCCAGTCTCTTAATTTGCTTGAGAAACCCGTTCTGTGAGAATTTAGAGCCTTCGGCCAGGGGGCCGAAGGCACCCCTGGCGCGTAGTGAGGGCTGCTTGGTACTCTGGGCGCTGTGATTTGGGCCTGCTGGGCCTTCTCGGCCTGTTGGGCCTTCACTGGAGTAGTAGGAGTCTGAGGGCCGGGGGTTCCCGGGCCATATACTCCATCAGGAGTCCCTCACTCCTTTTGCCGAAAGGTACTTGAGGGAAAAGGAGTAATTTGTGCTTGCCCTTTGATGTTGTCCCGTCATGATCTCTGAAGTTGTTGAGGAGTTGTTGCTTTTATGTCCCTGCCGAAGGCAGTCCCCCAGTTACCCACATGTCGGGACTTGAGGGCTTGCCTTGTCGTTTGTTGGAATGTCACAGATTTTGTAATTTAATGATTTTCCCGAGGGGGTCCTCCAGTCCCCCACTCCTTGAGGCACTTGTAAAGTGGTGAAAAGGAGTAAAGTAGTTACGTTGCTGTTGTGGGCCGAAGGCTGACGCTTTTCGTTTCATTTTGGGGGGATGCCTCGTTAAAAACCTCATTAGGAAAAACCCTTTGGGAAAAAATCCTAATGAGGGAAAAAGAGTGCACCGAATTCCCCCAATGATGAATCGAAAATGTCAAACCTTGGTAAAAAATGGAGAATGACGGGAATGCCGAAGGCTCTCTCTTCTGAGGGCTCCTGTGTTGATTAGCCGAAGGCTTGCTGTTGATGTCCTGGTGGCGCCGAAGGGGAGCCCCTCAATCCAGGGATCGAGGGCCTGCCAGATGAGGGCAGCAGTGGAGTTGTTACCGGGGGGTCCACTGTTTGTTGATTAGTTGGTGATGAAGATACCCGAGGGCTCCCATTACCTGTGTGCCATGGGTCATCCGTCAATGAGGCAACTCCCCGGGGGCTACCCGGTTTTTGCAGTGCCGAGGGGGAATCCCCGAGGGGTGCCCTGATATGAAGCCCTGGGTTTCTGAAGGAGTGATCCCGAAGGCGTCTGTTATGTGCTGTGTGGGGCACAACCCGGGGGCACTTCTGGGTGAGTGTACCCGGAGGCTGTTCTTGATGAAGTGGAGTGAAGTAGAAAACCCCGGGGCTTCCAGAATATAGCCGTTGGAAATATAGCCTTTGGAATATATAACGTCAGGCTTATAGCCGTTGGGGGGGGGGGACACGTGGCATGTAGCCATTGGCTGCTCGCGGGCGGGCGTCACCGGTTGGGTGAAACGACTGTGCGTAATGATGGCTTTGGCGGCTGGGAGCCCGGATCTCGGCCCAAGCCCGGATCTGGGAGCCTATAAATACCCCAAGCCAGTGCCATTCCTCCTTTA